GCTTGCCAACACTCTAGTACAGTGTTTCTCAATCTTGTTGGCTAGGGAATTCTGGGAGTTGAAGTCCACACGTCTTCAAGTTGCCAAGGTTGAGAAATACTGCTGTAGTGACAGTATCTACTACAGGCCAATAGTCTAAAAAAAAAAACAAAAAACTGAAGTAGCTATAGGCACCATAACAGCTCTGAGAGAGCGCTAAACTCAACCCAACCAGCTGAAGGGCTGCTCAGAATGTGTAAATTAACCAAGGCCATTGTCTTCTGTACTTGCAGGTATTGAAAAAACTAGAAAAATTGATTCTGTGGTGTACTTGAGAACTTAAATAACCACCTGAAGCTGAACCAGGTCAACACCTTAAAAAACTGAATTCCCTAGTTTCACATCTCTGTTCCAGGTCTACATCATCCCATGAAAGTCTGAGAGCAGTTAAGAGATAGAAATTCTATAGCACCAGCAAAGTAGAGAGTGGGTAGAGATTAGGATTAATAATTCCTATTCTCTATATGCTGAAATTTCAAGCCCAGTGGGAGGTTGGCTACAGGATTTATGCTCTCGATCATGGTACCTTCTTCAATCTTGTTGAAAATACCACCAGTGTATCCCCAGTAGACATATAAAGTTATGCTCTTTGATAGTTCTAGTGAGAGAGGAGAAAAAAATACAAAGTGATACATATTTCTGGGCATGTTTGTGTATGTGCACGAAGAGAGAATACATGAATGGATGAATGGATGCAGGATAAATGCCTTGTGTCTAAATAAAATCCTTTCAAAAATGTTTCTGTGGGCCTCTTCTTATATAGAAAAAATAGCATCACAAAGTGACTTGATATAAATAGGATAAGCAACATTTTCAGCACCTGGGAGACCATCCAGTAACAGGTGGTAGAGGGCTACACATATTACTACAAATATACACGTATATGTTCATGGAAGTTTAAGCTCCACTGTTCTCTTCCCCAGTGCAATCCTGCTATTCTATAGCTTGCTGAGCAATCTAATTAGTAAGCTGCTGAGAATCCTAAAGTGACATAATGCAATAGTACTATACTACTGTGCTACTATGCCCCCATGGAAAAGTATATTGCTTTACTCCTATACTACTTCAACTCTTGACGGCTACATTTGAAGGAATGCTGTTGTGTTGGGAAGGAAAGGCAGAAGTCCCAGGGGCAAATAGCTTGCCCAATCATGGAAAAAAAGCAAAATTATTCTGAAATAACCCAGAAATAATCTCAATAAACAATAGCAAGTTGATTACAAATAACTTAGGAAGAGCAGGATGAAGATATGGACTATATAAACGTTAAAGAGAGTGCAGGCTCATTACTTTTTCCAAATTACTTAGTTGGGTAGTTAATCTGTAGCATATCAGAGACTTTATAGGGCCAATCTGTTGTGCTCCACATTAATGGAGAGAACCACTGGGTCATGAGAAAGAAAAAAAAGAAGACGGGAAGGGAGAACTGAAAATACTTGAATTGTGGAGAGCCCTTTTCCCAGAACATTACAGGCTGGAAGAGGCTGTTGCTCATCTGTTTAAATGTGATCAATCCAGAACAGGACTACAGCCATCCCTGATGAAAATGTTCTGCTCTGTAAAGATTGAAGTTGAACTTAAATGCTGGTTCTTCCCTCCTTTAAACACTGAAAGTATCAAGCTTCAGGAAATGGTTCCTAAAATGCTTCTGGTAACATACACTCTCCTTCTCTTCCTTACTGGTCTTACCTCCTCCCACTCTTCCTGAGATCCCAATCTTCCTGGATAAAGTCAACTTTATTTTTTGCATCGTGAGGAAGAAAGCTGAGGGAACTGGTTACCCAAAGATGACCAAGCAAGCAGGTGTAAGATCCACAGCACCCTTTGAATGAGCCAAGGGAAAAAGGTGGGGTGTTCCACCATATGCTTTTGCATCCCATCTGTTTGTACTGTAGGCAAGGTGAGAATAGCATTAGTATGAGGACCTTGGCTTGCAAGCCTTAATTTTTCCATTACAGATTATACTTCTGATTTAAGGGCAAAAAGGTACCAACAGAGGAAAATGGAAACCACTATTGAACATGTGGATTTAAATGTTCCTTGTTCCCTCCATAATTGCTATTTGCCCCATAGGATTTTTCTAAAAGCCAAAATTATGATGTTTAAATTAGATAGAAAAACACATTTGCTAAGCTTAAGCTTTGAATGGGGAAAAAAAAAAAGTTAAAATCTCACTGCCAATGTTCACCCAGGACAAATGCTGTCCTTGCTTCATATAATTCAACAAAAAGTTTTCTGTTTTATTTTTTTCATATTTTGTAAGTCAGGAAGCAGCATTAAAAAAATACAGAATTATTTTTAAACTTCCAGTCCACACAGAATAATTACCAGCGGCCATGAACTGTCTCTCAATTACTGACTTTAGACAACAATTTGCAGCTTCTGGTTATTAATATTAGTCTTCTCAACTATTTACAAATATATTACATATTTTAAATCTTCCCAAGCAAAGAATATTTCAATAATTAACTCAGTAGATCCTACATAACTTCAGTGTTCAAAAGAACTATACACACAGTGCTGGAAGTCTGAATAATTTATAACTCATATATATATATATATATATATATATCTG